CCAGCTGAGGCAGGCCTCGGGAAAGGTGCACCAATGCAAAGGGGCTCTGCGGCCTCGTGAATGACGGTGCGGACCCCCTGCACAGGCGTGGGGGCGATGCTAGGCCATCCATCCCCCAGAAATGACGTGAACGATTTGGCTTCGTTTTCAGTGAATATGCTGGTGGTAAACCTGAGAGGCAAAAGTGAGAATGGAGCAGTGGATGTGTGAAATTGCCTCATCCGTTACAGAAGCAACTGCACTGAGGAGCAGGAAAGAATTTTTCTCTTCCCACACTGAAGTATGAGTTAAACATACAAATGTGTTCTGTAGCCAGTTAGCAAAGATTTATGCAAAGTGCTGAACTCTCATTGCGGAGAAAAGACACGAGGGCTTGTGCGTGTGAATGCCAGTAGCTGAGCAGCGAAGGCTAGTGGCTACTGTTTAGGTCAGCAGTGCACCAGCGTTGTGGTGTCTCGCTGCTTGCCCTCCTTCCCAAATACAGAAAACCTGAGCAATTTTTCTGATGTTCAACCTCTAGTTCATGGCTGGTGAATCAAGGATCCCTGAGCAGTGGAGAAAGACAGGTGTTGGAGGAAAAGTCCAAAGACTTTCCAGTTGGGAGAAAAGTCAGGAAAACCAGATTGTTAGGTAGAGAAAAAGCTTTGTCCTCTCTGCTGGAAAAGCTGGACTTTGTGTTCATTTGTTGTTAAATTCCAGGGAATCCACAGAGGTGACACACCATAAATGTACAGGAAAAGCTTCAAGTAGAGTGTGAACTCAAGTTACGAGATGCAAATCTTTAAAAAAACTATCGCAATCTAACGCACATAGAACTGTCTTTTTCTGTTCTTCAGTATCCTTTCTTTTCATCTAGAGGTGATTATTGATCCTTTTCTGTCTAGGGTGGTGCTCCTCTAAGATTTCTCTTGCAGTGACTATGACTTCCAGATAGCATTCATACTTTCAGCCCTCGTGTCCTCCACATCATACACATACTTAACATTTACATCCCCAAGCTCTTTGGGCCAGTTTACTCACTGACTGAGCTTTTGAAAGCCTGTCCTTTCAAAATAGGGAATTCCTGTTGCAAATATCCTTTGATTTATCCTCCTGATCGATTCACTCAAAGTCAGTTTACTCGGTTTACTGAGTTTGAATGGTTTACTCAAGGTTATTTCCTGCAGGCAGGTCTCTCCCAATATTCTTGCTGTTTGTTGTGGTTACTCAATATTGTGAAGAAACCTGTTACGTCCCTTATGAAGAAATACATGTGCTGAACCATTTTCAGTAGCAATTATTTTCCAGCCTACATTGAGGAGGCCAAAGTGTAACTTCCAAATAACTTGACAGATGCTTTTGTCAATAACCAAATCTGGTGTGGGCAGCAGCAGAGTTGACTCCCACCAGCCAAGATACGTTGGCTTTACCCAACATTACCTTGTCCTAAAGCAACGCTGTTAAGTCCACATTATGCCCTCTTATTCTTTTACAGTCTGTGACATTGTGGTATGTCATGGTGCTGGTTTTAGTTAATTTTCTAAATAGCTCATGCTCTTCCTGCTTGTAAATGCTATTCTACCACATTTCAGTTATCCCTCAATTAACCAGTGTCACATCTTGGATCAGCGGCTTAAGTTTCTTTGCTTCATCTGGTGGCAACACTGCAGTAATCTTGGGCCTTCTGGTGGCCCCCAGAAAGGACTAGAAATTATTTTCTCACATTCTTCGCATAACTTCAGACTTTCTTTTTGCGGCTTTTCTGATTGTTTTCTGTCTTCTGAAGCTATGGAAACTGGCTACAGCAAGTCAGGATGTTAGGGGGGAGGCTGGATTCCCTCGAGTTACTGAGAAACATTGCAGGCATCTGTTTGATATCTAACTCGTGTGCAGTTTTAAACCAACAGCCAGAGTTGGGTCAGGAAGGAATTTCTCTTCTGGTTTGGACTGGCAGAGTTCTGCATTCCTAGGAACATCAAAGCATTCTCGCTTACCAAACTTTCCTGTTATACAGATAATGATCTTCCCTCCTTTGACATACTGTAAGTTGGATCTGAGGTTGGGATGCCATGGTGTGCATGGCGTAAATACTTCCCTGTGAACTAAGTGTCTGGTACACAGGTTCCCTGGGGCTGCAAGGGAAGCACTTGATAACTCAGGTGGTCCTTTCCTGTCTTGTGTTTCTTTTCTGACCAGGCTCTTTGAGTTAATACCCAAGTTTTTCTGTCTTGCCAATTATACTCAGTTTATGAAAATTTCCCGATGGGTTTGCTCACTGCCAATACTTTCTCCCTGCTGCTCATCCTCCAACCCTCTTAACACTTATTTAGGAATTGCCTTATGCCTATTCCAGGTTCCTCCTCCTGTTACTAAAACAAGCAAGGCAGATTGCAAGGAACATTAATTTAAGGAGTAAAAGGCTTCGGTAAATGGGCACGTTTACCCACAGATTCCTACCCACAGCTCATGCTACGTACATACATTTTTGTTAAGTCCCTCTGATAGGCATTCTGCTGGCAGGCAGACATTCTGCAAATTCATCATGTTGCTGTGCCTTTGACCTCTTCTCCAGCGCCAGAAAAGACTTCTATCAAATATTACCATAAGTGTCCATGTCTTTCTTCTCCAGTCTCCTTCAATTTAGGTTAATTCAAGTGAAGTTATTTGCACTGGAACAATTCTAGTTAACTCTGTACTTGAAGACTTCTTTCAAAACTAGAATTATTCTGAATACCAAGTTACACAGATCTAATCCTACAGCTGTTTCTCAGTCCTCATTTGACTAAACATGGTCAAGTGTTCATGACAATACTTAAATATTATAAATATATAATATATATAAAATATATATAATATATATTATATAATATAAATATCGTGCCCCTGTACTCGGCACTGGTAAGGCCACACCTCGAATACTATGTTCAGTTTTGGGTCCCTCACTACAAGAAGGACATTGAGGTGCTGGAGCG